ATCAAAGTGGGGGTTTACAAACTCAAAGGGTACACCCATCTCAGAGCCCAGGTCAAACTGACTCAGGCTTGTACTTCGGGGCTGAAAATAGCAGTGTAGACTGGAGGGTCAACCCGAGTCCAAACATCTACATTGCTCTCTTTAGCCCTCCAAGCCTGAGTCAGTTGACCCAGGCTCTGAGTCTCTCTGCTGCTAGGTTTTTTTTTTTTTTTGGTAGATGTACCCAAAGGCTGAGGAGGGACTCAAAAGGGAAGCTTTTTGATTACCAGATCAACTGGAGGCGAAGGATACTAACTGCAGGGGTCAGGGAAAGAAGCCCTGAGCTGGGGGAGTGAGATTCAATACAGGGGACTTGGAGCCCTGGAAAGATACCAGCTGAAATCCCAAAGAATGCTCAAGGGTGGTGAGGAAACTGAGGAATGGCATACAGGTGTTCGTTGTTTTGCCTAGATCTGTACATCTCTTGTGCTGTCTAAAGTAAAGAGCGAGCGGTTTAGAAATCTGTCTGCGAAGTCTGTGTTGTTTGCTTTAATTATCACGTGTTTCTGAAAGGGTGAACTATAAACCAGTGGCTGACTACTCACAAGATGAGCTCTAGGGAAGGGTTTTGCTTACGCTACTGAAGTGTATTGGGGGTCAGCACTCGTGCTAAGGGCCTTGTGCAGCTGGGCTGTGGGGTCCATCCTCCATGCAGGGGTACGAGACAGAGAGTTTGTGCTCAAGAAGCGTGCCAGAGAGTCTGCAGCCAGAGATTGTAGCTGGAGCCTACCCTGTGATCATGGGGGGCGTCAAGGCGCACAGACCCAGCAAGTGGGTCTAGCACAGCAGCCTGGTGAGGATCCAGCAGGGGAATCTCAACCAGGGCTGTTACAATTGCTAGAACATATCAAACAACTTTCTACCCTCTTTGAGGGGTATATTAATCACCCCATTTTGTGTCACTATCATTCAAATGTTGGGTGCTCATTGATATTGAGTCAATCTGGCTACTCTTCATAAAGGCTGCAAATATAATACTGGAGGGATTCACTCTCAAAAAATTGGGACCTGAGACCGTCATTTAAAAATGGTTCATTCCTCTCCTCCCACCCCCATTATACACCTCCTCCATGCAGTCTAATATATGAGTTGTCAGAAGAAGATTGTCCTTTCATAAATTTTCTAGGGAGAGAAGAACATTTCTTTATGAAATCAGCATGTGAGAGAAAGCGTCCCTCCAGAGAAAGTTTCCGTAGCTATTCATGCTGAAGGTGAATATATATTTAGCTAGAGGTAGAGCTCTGAAAAGGCACTGTACAAATATTCAAATGTCTAATTCGTCCTTTTTTTTTTTAAATATTTGAGTATTTGCAGATTTGATTCTGGATCATTTTAATTCGTTCCACCAGCTTTAATGTTTGCTATACAGTGGAAATAATGAAATTCCAACTGGTGAAAAAAAGAATGAACTTTTAGGACTTTACCTTAGGAGGAAATTCGCCATGATTGCAGTTTAACACAAGCTCTTTATAGCACAGGGAGGGCTGTAAACACAAATGGTGACCTGCAGATACTGCCTTTTTATTATCACACCAAAAATAAATAAATAAAGACTTAAAAATAGTTCTTTGCTGGCAGTGAGCATTTTATTCCATGTCTTTATGTGCAACTGTCTGGTGCCTTAACTTTTACACCTTAGGAAGGATTTCGTAATCAGACATCTGTTCTCCCTTGCCCAATTAGTGTGGGATTAAAGAGAGGATACGAACAGATTTGTAACTGTGTATACTAGGATAAAAAAGACACTATGGTTTCAAGGAACAATCTGAAATGCCTTCCCCCTCATCCCTCTTGTGTACATTTAGGTTGTGTGGGGTTCTCCTTAAGTGTAAATTTTACTTTTAAAATTGGGTTCCTGAAAGGTTGTGAGACTAAGGATATTAACAAAAGCAGAGTCTCACTTCCTACTAAGGATGTAATGCCACTAAGCTTTCAGAATTGTTATAACCACATTAACCAAATCAAGTCACCAAATCCTGTCTAAGGACAGGGTTGTGCAGATGGACAGCAACTTAGCCTGTCTGAAGGTTGGCAACATGTATGTTTCCATTGTCATGTTGAAGGGCCAGATTCACTCCTGTGGATCAGTGAAGTCAAAGTTACACACACACACGCATACCCAAACACAGAGCCTATAGCGGTAGCTGCTGCAAAGGGAGAAGGTAGGATTCTCCTCCCTTGCCCCTCCCCCCCCCCCCCGCCCTGGAGAAGGCTGCTGCAGTATCAGCATCTCCCTCTTCTGGGGGTTCTGTGAATGGAAAGCAGCTGTAAAATCCAGTCAGGGTTCATAAACATCCCTCCAGTAGAAACTGGAATAAGTACTGACTTTGCTCATCCTCCTCAGACCACTTGTGTGGCTGCACCAGCCCACTACAGCCACCCTGGCAAAGCAGGTCTTCCTGGAGACTAGCACTTGCTGCACCCTCTTGCCCTCCAAGCAGACATACCAGTTCTGAGGCCACAGTTTGCATTGTCAGAATCCTGGAGGTGAGTCAAACCTGGGGTTTAAAACACAATAGAAGTTGTTTTAAAGAATGACGTAAGCCCACTACAGTTTAACTTAGATATTGATCGTGTCTTCAGCTCCACGCATCTTTATCCTTCCTGAACAGACTGTTTCTCCTAAACAGGCCCTTGGTCAACTAAACAAACAGCAAAGACAGTAAGATTGGGCATTTTAATAGGTATAGTGCCTTTCCTCCAAGCATCTCAAAACCCTTCAGAAGTATTAGTTGTCTAGTCCCCTCAACATACCAAGGAAGTATCTGCCATGTAAATTATGGGGAACCTCTGGCACAGAGAGGTTAAATGACATGTGCTAGGTCACTCAGTGAGTCAGTGTCAAGTACTAGAATCGAAGCCAGGAATCCTCAGAACTAGTTTCTGGTTCTGCCCAATACATTATGCTCACCACTTTATAAAGTAGAGCTTAAAGAGGAGATCTTGAATTTAATTTTTAAAAACCTAGCATGCTACAAAACCAAATCATGTTTTTAAAATATATTTACTAGCATACTATCATTTATTTACATCAAAAGGGTAGTGCATTTCAGAACCGGCAGAGCAAAATTTCTTTATACATTGCCCTTAGCTCATGCCTACAAAGCCTCTCTCCTCATGAGAGATTTTGCTTGTTTTCATATTAGAAATGTAACAATTAAATTTGCCTTTCACACAATGTTTCTTTTCTACATTATTTATTGCACATAGCCAACAACATGAAAAAGGTAGTGGGTTTAGTTCCTGAATAGCAAAGTGGTTTTTGCTTTTAATCAGCCTAAGTTGGTCTCCATAGACTCCACTTGAACTGTCTGGGCTCTGCAGCTTGGGAAGATTACTACATGTTAATCAGAGGAGGTACCTCTCCC